CCACTGTGACTGCCAGTCCTGGATCACAAGTGAGTTGGCTTTTGATGCTTCTGTTAAATGACCACAGAACCAGGTGGGGGAGCTGTACTCGCTGATCCAGTTCCTGCAGACAGACCCTCACTCGTTCTACTTTTGCCGCCACTGTGGCTGCCAATCCCTCGACCACAAGTGTGTCGTGGGCTTGTAGACGACTGTCTCTAAACCCCTTGTTCTATACGTTCTCTGCGTACAATCGCAAGTGCGGTTAGGGTGTGGTGGTCTGCAAGCCATGATTTAGCTCAAAATCCTTTGGGCCTGTTCGTGCCTTTTCAACATTCCTTTCTGCAGGTTCTCTGCTCACAACCGCAAGTGCGACCAGTGCGGCCACTCACCCTTGGTCCATTTCTGCTGGTGGAACAAGGTGAGAGGAACCTGTTGGTTTCCTAACATGCAGGCACCGACCTTGAGTTGCCTCTGGAGTTGGAGTTTATTTCGCAGGAACCTGTTTGAGGTGTAATCAACGACTTTTTTTGGAGTTTCTGAATGACATTTGAGTCTATTCATGCATGGACTCAATAATCAAAAGCTCAAGTTCACAGTCACGAGATCACAAGGCACGGCGGCGCGCGCACAGATGCCTGCCTGGGGGTTTATTCCGCAGCCCCCTGTAGCACGATTCTTCCCCAACTACACCTGTTTGACGCCCCCAGTTCTTGGCAAACCCCACAATGATCCTGGATACGGTGGCATTGGCAGGAGGACCATACTGCTGCTGCTCAGGCACCTAGTTCTCGGCTTCATTGCCCCGCAATCTTGTTTGTCTGCTCCTCGCTACCCCTGCTCTCTCTGCCTATCCCCTGACGCCCCCAGTTTGTGGCGAACCCAATAATGAAGCATGGGTACAGGGGCGATGGCAGGAGAACCGTGCTGCGGCTCAAGCACCGCGTGCAGCTTGGGGTATCTCATTGGCCTCCACTCTATCTCCTTCTGCTTCCCCCTCCCGCTTCCCCCCAGTTCGTGGCGAACCCAATAATGAAGCATGGGTACGGTGGGGATGGCAGGAGGGCAATGCTGCTGCTCAAGCACCGCGTGCTCGACCGCGTCTGCTGCGCCGCACTAAGACCGAACGGGCGGCGGACCTCACTTTGCCGCCCAGAACTGTGAGTGCTGATTGCGAGCTCCCTTCAGAGTGTTCTCAAAATTTGCACTGTGTGTCGCCTTTGAAAATTCTTACAGGCACATTTGTGTGTCCGACAGGTCTGCTGTTCCCTTCAACCCACTGCATCCCAAGTCTCTTTCTTCACTCCTCCCTCCATGCTTCCTTTCGCAGTCCACGCTGCGCAGAGACCGATTCGACGCGCGCGAGGAGGATTTCTATGAGGCGCTCTACACACAGAGCCAATCACAGTTCGCCACGTCAGTCCTCACTCAACCACAGCCCAGTCTGCATGATATGCTTGCAAGCTCCGTGCTGTGTGTTGCCCTGTCTGTGTCTCGACGTGTCTCACTTCCCTTCCATCCGTGATATCCATGACCTGGTGTCTGTGCTCGTCACGAGTATCCTTCACATCCTGCTGTACGTTATCTTCTGGTTACCCGTCGCTACAGCGCTGTGTTGAAAGGATTGTATAGACGTCCGTTCCTTTCAAGCACCTCCGCAAAGTGTCTTTTCTTTTTCTTTCTTCTGTTGCCTCCCCCTCTTCCTCCTCTCCCTCCCAGCTACGTGGATGCATGCACAGTGCACATTACTCTACAACTACCCCGCACATATATGGTCTGCGCATCTGCCTGCGCCACTTAATTTTCCCTCTTCTTCGACCCTTTCTCCCTCCCCTTCTCCACCCTCTTTCTCACACCCCCCCCCCCCCAGTTATGTCGACGCAGGCACATACTCAACACTTTTGCGCACATATTTGGGAATCACTTTTGAGAACTCTCAAAAGTGATACTCAACAATTTTGCGAACATATACGTCCTGCTCATCCGCCTTCTCTTCTCCCGTTTCCTCCCTCCCCCTCTGCCTCCCTCCCCCCAGCTACGTGGACACGGGAACACTACTCAACAATTACGCGCACATATTCGACCTCCTCATCCGCCTGCGCCAGGCGGTGGACCATCCCTACCTCGTCGTTCACTTCCGCCTCCCACAACACTGCTGCTGCCGCCGCCGCCGCCACCGCTTCGACTGCTGCCGCCTCTGCTGGCGCCGCTGCTGCTTCTGAGAGGGCAGGGGGAGGGGCAAACGATGGGCCAAGTGGTGGGGGAGTGGGTTGGTGGGGGAGGAGAGGGGGAAAGGGAAGAGGAAAAGGAGGAGGAAACAAGAGTGTGTGGAATCTGCTGTGACTATGCAGAGGATCCCGTGGTACGTCGGTAGCTAGCGTTGAGTGGTTGCCGGGTGCCTTGCTTGCCTTATCAGGTGTGTGTTAAGTTGACTCCTAACACATCTGTTGTGACTATGCAGAGGACCCCGTGGTATGTCGGTCAGTTCAAGTCATTGTGCACGTTCTGTTCTGCCAAAGCTGCTGCTTCACCGTGCCGTGCCCGTTTGCCAACCAATGTGATCTCCCCCAAATTAGCCTCCTATCTCAAACAATGCGCTTCCCCCCTCCCCCCATCATCTACCTACAATGTTGCTTCCCCCCCTTCCCCCATCATCCACCCACGCACTCTCGTCTTCCAGTCCTCACGCTGCAAGCACACCTTCTGCCGCGGCTGCATCACAGATCTCATAGCAGCTCACAGCAGCACCAGCAGCGGCAGTGGCGGCGGCAATAACACCAGCACCAGCACCGGGAATGGCATGAGCAGCAGCAGCAAGGGGGTGTTGGAGTGCCCATGTGTGGTCTGCCCTCCTCACTGTCGACCTCAGCTCTCCCTCTCCCGTCTATATCCGTGTGACTTTTGAGAATTCTCAAAAGTCACACGGATATTGTTGGAGAGCCCTGTGTGCTCCGCCCTCCTCACAGTCGATCTCAGCTCCCCCTCTCCCATCTCTTATTTCTTAACCAACTTGCTCTCTTTACCCGTATTCCCCCACCACCCACCCTCCCACGCATTCTCATGCCCGTTTCTACTTAACTCACTGCTGCAGTCCTCGCGCTGCCTGCACACCTTCTGTCGCGGCTGCTTCACTGATCTCATAGCAGCTCACAGCAGCACCAGCAGCGGCAGTGGCGGCAGCAATAACACCAGCACCAGCGCCGGGAATGGCATGAGTAGCAGCAGCAAGGGGGGCGCTGGAGTGCCCTGTGTGGTCTGCCCTCCTCACGGTCGATCTCAGCTCTCCCTCTCCCGTCTATATCCGTGTGACTTTTGAGAATTGTCAAAAGTCACACGGATATTGTTGGAGTGCCCTGTGTGGTCTGCCCTCCTCACAGTCGATCTCAGCTCCCCCTCTCCCATCTCTTCTTTCTTAACCAACTTGCTCTCTTTACCCCTGTTCCCCCACCACCCACCCTCCCACGCATTCTCATGCCCGTTTCTACTTAACTCACTGCTGCAGTCCTCGCGCTGCCTGCACACCTTCTGTCGCGGCTGCATCACAGATCTCATAGCAGCTCACAGCAGCAGCAGCAGCGGCGGTGGTGGTGGTGGCGGCAGCAGGGGGGTATTGGAGTGCCCCGTGTGTTCCGCCCCCCTCACTGTCGACCTCAGCTCCGCCTCTTCCGCCTCTCCCCTGAAAGCACTGCGAATGGGGGGGAGAGCGGGCAGTTCACGGGGGAAGGGGAGCGGGGGATGGGGAAATGGTGGCGGTGTGGCTGGGAAGGGGGTGTGGGGGGTGGTGGGGATGGAGGGAAGGAGAAGGGGAGAGAAGGGGGGCGGTTGGCAGGAGGGGTGGTGCGGGCGAGAGGGGAGCATTTTGAGTCGGATGGACCTGTCGCGGTTTCCAAAGCAGCACCAAGATTGAAGCGCTGGTGAGTCTGCGATGTGATAGGGTGTTCTCCTTCTTGCTCCACTTGCTCCGTTCGCATTCCAAGTCGGCTCAATCTGTCGCGGTTCCAAAGCAGCACCAAGATTGAAGCGCTGGTGAGGCCCGGATGGGGTACTTACTTCTTGATCCCCTTACTGGACTGCCCTCCCCCTGCTCCCCTTCCTCGTCATGCGGTTTCAAGTGGTGAACCTCCATTCTTGTTCTGCTGTCTTGCAGTTCTCCTTAGTGCTTTTGTTGTGATTGGCGTGGCATGGTATGGCATGGCGTGGCATGGTATGGCATGGCGTGGCATGGTATGGCATGGCATGGCATGGCATGGCATGGCATGTCATGGCATGGCACATCGCACTTGGCATGTCATGGCATGGCGTGGCATGGCATGGCACGTCGCACTTGGCATGGCGTGGCATGGCGTGGCATGGCATGGCACGTCGCACTTGGCATGGCGTGGCATGGCGTTGCATGGCGTGGCATGGCGTGGCATGGCATGGCATGATGGCAGAGGGAGGAGTTGGACGGGATGGTGCAGAGGGATCCAGGCGCCAAGGCGCTCGTGTTCAGCCAGTTCACGTCCATGCTCGACCTCATTGCATACCGCCTGCACCAGGTGCGACCTTCACCTCTCATTGCATACCACGTGCACCAGGTGGGCATCGCCTATATGTCTCATTGTACCTTTTTACTGCCTATCATACCACCTCCACCAGGTGCGACCTGCACCTCATCGCATACCCCCTGCACCACGTGTGGCTTTCACTCATTGCATACCGGGTGCATGATGTATCATGGGTGTCCGTCCAGTGACCATCCAGGGTACTCTGGTCAGCAGCGTGCATGACCATGCTCTCACGGTTCACCATGAATAGAGGGCTATCTATGAGTCGTAACAGACTCCCCTCTTGTTGCTCCTCGCCTTCCCCCCTTTGACCCTGACCTCCTCCTTTGCTGCATGCAGGGAGTTAGTAGTGCCCTCCTCTGTTTTCCTGCGTTTCCTGTCTTTCATTCCCCATTCATCTTCTCACTGCCTTCTTTCTCTCCCTTTTACTGCTCCTCGCCTTCCCCCCTTCGCCCCTGACCTCCTCCTTTGCTTCGTGCAGGTGGGAGTGCGGTGTGTGAAGCTGGATGGCAGCATGACAATGGACGCTCGGGATCGCATCATTTCCACCTTCACTCGCGATGCTGACTGCCGGGTGAGATCTTCCTCTGACACTCTCTTTTCATTCTGCTGGCATTGCGCTTTTGGTAATGATTTGTAAAAAAAAAATAACTCTTGAAAACAAGAGCCAAGGTAGTAGTAAGTAGTGCCCTTCTCTGTTTTTGAGGCACCTCAAAAGTCGTCTGTTTTTGAGGCGCCTCAAAATTCGTCTGTTTTTGAGGCGCCTCAAAAGTCGTCTGTTTCTGAGGCGCCTCAGAAAACAAGAGCCAAGGTAGTAGTAAGTAGTGCCCTCCTCTGTTTTCCTCCGTTTCCTGGCTTCTGTCCCTCATTCATCTTCTCACTGCTTTTTTTCTCTCCCCTTTTCACCTCACTGCACTTCCCATCCTCTCTCCCCTTCCCTCACCTACCATCAGGTGTTCCTCATGAGTCTTAAGGCGGGAGGAGTGGCTCTCAACCTCACCGTTGCTTCCCACGTGAGTTGCTCCATTCGTTTTTTAAATTCATTATCAGGGCATTTTCCTACTAAAGGAGCAAGTAACGAGGCAAAAAAAAAAAAAAAAAAAAGTCTATTGAGTTTCAGGGAGAGATAAGTAGTTGCGCGCCAAGCTGCCCTCTTCTCACCTTGCAGTGGACGTGTGCCAGACCTACATGTGCTACGTGTGCTACTACATGTGCTACGTGTGCTACTACATGTGCCGGACCTACATGTGCTACGTGTGCTACTACATGTGCCAGACCTACATGTGCTACGTGTGCTACTACATGTGCCGGACCTACATGTGCTACGTGTGCTACTACATGTGCCAGACCTACATGTGCTACGTGTGCTACTACATGTGCCGGACCTACATGTGCTACGTGTGCTACTACATGTGCCAGACCTACATGTGCTACGTGTGCTACTACATGTGCCGGACCTACATGTGCTACGTGTGCTACTACATGTGCCGGACCTACATGTGCTACGTGTGCTACTACATGTGCCGGACCTACATGTGCTACGTGTGCTACTACATGTGCCGGACCTACATGTGCTACGTGTGCTACTACATGTGCCAGACCTACATGTGCTACGTGTGCTACTACATGTGCCGGACCTACATGTGCTACGTGTGCCACTTCACCCATGGTGGGGCCCTGCAGTGCAGCTGACGCTTTTCAGCTGCAGTAGGTCCCACCTTGTGAAGCCGTGCATGAGTCTTTGCCAAATCTCGCACCATGAACCCTGAAGATGAATCTCTGCTTTCCAATGCTTTGTCCACGCGCTCGCAATCCCCCATCCTTGTTCTTTCTCACGCAGGTCTTTCTGATGGACCCCTGGTGGAACCCTGCTGTGGAGCAGCAAGCGCAGGACAGAATTCACAGGCTCGGGCAGTTCAAGCCTGTCAGGTAGGCTCGGCATCCGGCAATCTTTGGAAGTACACACAAGGCAATCTTATTCATGGGCCTTCCAGTGAGGGTTCGTGAGAGGCACCTGTTAAGGAGCTAGTTAGACTTGTAGGACCTTGTGAGTTGTGAGATAATTTTACACAACTTACAACAAGCTCCAGATGACATCCTTGGTATGTTAGCCTAATGTGGAGGCGTGTCGAAAGGCTTTGCTGCCATGGTCCAGATGACTTCATATTTGGTGTGTTTATTCTCTCTATCCTTGCATGCCCCACCATCTTGTTATGAATATCTCGCCCCCACCACCACGACTTAACCCCCACCCACGTGCAGGGTGACGCGGTTTGTGATAGCAGGCACTATAGAGGAGCGCATTATAAAGCTGCAAGAGAAGAAGCAACTGGTGTTTGATGGGTGAGTTGGCTGCCCTGTAATTTTTCCTGGAGAAAGTGGGCAACATGCTCTGGATCAGATGGCATACCTTAGTCTAGTTCTGAGGCGCCTCAAAACATGCTGTGGATCAGATGGCATACCGTAGTCAGATTGATCTTCTTTGTGGAGGGGGGCTGTCTCAAGCCATCTTCTATATTACGTGTGTCTCTCTTTCCAAACCCCTTACTGGCTAAAAATCGTGGACTTTCCATCAAAACATCAACTACTTCTCAACCCCCATCCCCATCCCCCTCCCGCCTTCCCCTGTCCCTCTCCTTGTACATCCGGTGCAGCACGGTGGGAGGATCATCAGAGGCGTTGGGCCGGCTGACAGAGGACGACCTGCGCTTCCTCTTCACCAACTGAGTTGACCTTTGAGTCAACTCACAAGTCAACCAGGAATCCTTTCCATCACAGTGGGAGGATCATCAGAGGCGTTGGAGTGGCTGACAGAGCATGATCTGCGCTGCCTCTTCACCAACTGATGCTGCTCCTCTTTTCACCCGGGCCTAGAGGTGCTTTGTACAGGAGTTTTGGGCAATAATGGTACAGTAGTTCGAGGTTCAGTATTTGGTACAGCCGGAAGCCCATGTTGGCACAGTGAACTCTCATATACATGCTTGAGCATGTCCTGCTGTCATACTATTTTCAGCACTGAGAGCCTTCTTGTGCATTCCGGTTCATGAGCTCATAGCAATGTACGGTATCATGATTGGGGAGTAAAAAGGGACATTGCTGAATCCAGAACTTCATGCAAACACACACTAACACATGCTCCGTCCCATCCCAGGTGCCCCATTCGTTCATTGATTTCCCTCCCACCACATGAACTGTACCTCGGCTGTTTCCTAATTCGACTATGCCGCCCAGCAGTAGTGAGTCATGACTATTGTCGCGATCCATGGGGGACAAGAGGCTTAGCCGAAAGGATAATGCCGTCATTATCGGCGTAGCACCAATCTCCTGGGTGTACCATGACCCCCTGGACTTTCACAGGAACGTTCCTCTCCCCTTGCCCCTTCTTCACACTCTTTACAGGACACGTGGCAAGCCCTCGCACGTCCACGTTGCACCCGCGAATCTCGTCCACGTCACGCACGCACCCGCTGAGAAAAACGCCCGCCCAGCCGTTCTTAGCCGCCTCGACAGCCAGATTGCCGCCCAGTAACGCGCAGCGCCGGCTCTCTCCACCGTCGATTATTAAAATCTGCGATTCGCCGGGCTGTTCGACCTCGGAGCGCACTAAGGTGTTATCTTCAAAGAGCTTCAAAGTGACGACTCGGCCCCACGACGCGGTTCGGCCGCCGTAAGAAACGAGGCCTGGTTCTAAAACGCGGATTTCCCCTCGCATGACCGCGTCGTGATTGTCGTCGCACGTGGCAAAAATCATCGTCGCAGAGCGAGGAGTCGAAGGGCAAACGCAGGAATCAGGGATCAAGGCCGCGTAACCTGGTAACCACGTTGAGTCTATATTCGAGTCAGGCGAGAGGCAGAGGGGGTCACACGAGCTGACGACGCTTCAAGCCAAACGCGATGACGAGAACCCACTAGCACTCACTACGATGAATGCGTAGTGTTACTACCGCAATTCGCGATAAATGTAGAGCCGCGGTCACCACACGCGAGGAGGAAGGAGAGAGAGTTTCCCCGCACTCAGCTATGAATGTGCCAGAGCAGTGCAAGCTGATGTGTCTCCTAGCTATGAATTTTGCTGCCACATTTTGAAGTTGCTTTTCAGATGAGAGAATTTCTCCAGAACCTGGATTGGTGATTCATCCTTGCTAGCGTGGCATCTAATTACTCGAGTGGCCACCGAATTTGGTGATAATTACTCGAGTGGCCACGCCAGGGGATTCCCGCTGGCTTATTTTTTTTCCCGGCGCATTTCGTATCCCCGAAACCTCTGTATCGATAATTGCTCGATCTTCAATCGACGCGATGATTTATAATGGATGTTTTCGCGTGATGATTTATATTCGAAATTTATGTTTGTGACTCAAAATGACCCCAAACCCTGATCTTTTAGGGTTATTGAAGGCGCTAATCGGGGTAGCGTTACAACGTGCGCAAGCCCGAGTCATCCTGCTTCGAGCAGTGGGGGGGGATTAATGTAGATTTGGAGAGGGACGATGTCGATGTGAAAGGCGGGGCTCTCTGGGTGGAGGCCCCGTACATGGTGGATACGTTGTTGTGATTTGGGGGGGAGGGGGAGAAATGGGGTGTGGGATGGGATGTCCAGATTCATGTTTATAATTGTTGTTGTTCAATCAGTGATTAAGTAGCTACCTGATTGGACGCGCATATAGACCAATCATGCGCGGCCATTAATGGTCGGGCACATTATATATTAATGCCCGATCATATAGTTCCGCGATCATAAACTGCAATGCCCGGTCGTCAATGCACGGGACCTTTAATGACAGCGCATGATTGGTCGATTATATGCGTGGTGCTTTGTTTTGCAATGCGCGTCCAATCAGGCGCAGACATATGGGGTCATGATCATAAATTTCGGATATTGAAGATCGTGCATTAATTAGTACAGAGGTTTCGGGGTCACAAACCCTTGTAGGGTAATGCGCCGGATAAAAAAAACAAGCGGGAATCCCCTGACGTGGCCACTCGAGTAATTATCACCAAATTTGGTGGACACTCGAGTAATTCGATGTCACGCGAGCAAGGATGAATCACCAATCCAGGTTCTGGAGCATTTCTCTCTTTTCAGATCCTAGCGTGATTGGGCGTCTCTTGTTGCCAGAAATGTGAGGATGGTAAGCGTGTGATTTCAGTGGTGTGGGATGGGATGCGATGCGATGTGCTGCAATGGGACAAGCTGGATTCTCTCTATACCTCAATGCGGTATGGAAAGGGAGGAACATGAGGTGGAGCGAGTCAGCGCTGAGTTGGCTGTCGGTGGTCCCCCCTCATGAGAAATCCTTGCCATGAATATCACCGATACGCGTCAAAATTTTGCGGAGGTGTAGGCAAATACCCCAGTGCTCGTTGTGTTCAGAAAGGTCTTATGCAGTTGATTGGCTTGCATTAGCATTTGAACTGCCCAATCAGAGCCTCACTCACATCGTGACAGTTGGCGTAAAACCCCCTTCTCGCCCCTCCCCACGGGGAAGCAACCTTCGAATACTAGCGGGGTTGTTTGCGGGAAGTACACGCCACGCTTTCTCAGAAACTAACGACGCGACGCGATGGTCGATTGAACTCAACATGTGGTTGCTTTTTATGAGCTCGCACGCACAAGTGAGGAGCTCTTAGGGGCTGAGGCTAGCAGCCGCAGCATTGACACCATTCGAAGTGAACGTCCGCCCAGATTCAAGGACGAATACTGTCACAGGTTCTAATTAGCCCCGCATTTTCTCACTTGCTCGCCTTAGCATTCGTAGCGTCCTTGCCTCGTCCGTCCGTGTCGAACAATATGGCGACTTTGATGACTCACTCTGAGATGAGTAATCTAGACGTGGACTGTCTCGCAACTATCTTCTCCTTTCTAACTCCCGCGCAGATTTGCCGCTTGGCTCACGTGTCTCGCACGTGGGCGGCAGCAGCGGCGTCTGACGTCAGCTGGGGCCGTCTCCTCCCTCCTCTATGCGCCTCGACTTGCTTTCAGAAGGCTCTCGAGGCGCATCGCGTTGCGATGTGCACAGGTGTATGCCGCCTGACGTCATCCTCTTGTGATGATGACGGCAGCAGCTCCGCTAGTAGCGGAACCAGCAGCTCCAGCAATGATGACGTCACCAGAAGCACTTTGGCCCGCAGCAGCAGCAGCAGCGGTGCCGTCAGCAGCAGTTGCAGCAGCTCCAGCAGTGAGGGTTGTAGGTGCCACGTCAGCAGCGTTACACAGCGATGGGTGTGTCAAAGGCTCTGCCAAGGGGTCTACGTGGACGATGGCCGTTTCCACGTCAGCATGGACCCATATACCGCTACCCTCACAACCTGTGTGAATGTAGCGAAGGTGCTTGAAGTGGTGGGGATGAGAACAAACGGAAATGAGAACAATGATGATGATGATGATACTGAATGGTTTCTTGAAACGGGTCATGGGGCACCTAATAACGAAAACCTTCCCTACAACGAGGGGCACGGGTCGCGTCACAGACAGCAGAACCGCCGAAATAGGCGGAACCGGGACAGGAGAAGACAGCAACCTGCGTTTAACAGGGACGGGGTGGCCGAGGCTGCAAGAAACAACCCTGTTGGGGATTTTTCTAATCAATATGATAGTTCAAACCCTAAGCTGGGGGAATCTGGCATTCCGGGCGCGATTTTCCCCGCGTCTGTCCCCCATCTGATCTCCGCCAACCGGTTTCTTATCAGGGGCGACATTGAGCTCCCCTTCTCGCTTCGCCCGGGCGCGTACGAGGCGGAGTGGCGCATTGCGCGCGACCCCGCGGAGGGGGAGCGGAAGGAGGCGGAGGAGCGGCTGGTGCGAGAAGCTGAGTGGGCGGAGAGCGCGGAGGCGGAAGCTTGGAGGGATTTGGGGTTGGGGGGAGTCAGGGGGGATGTCGTGTGCGGAAAGGGGAGGGGAAAGGGGAAGGGGCGGAAAGGAAGAAGAACGGGTAAACCCACGGATCTATGGGACGCTCTGCGCGCCATCAGGGGGATTGGGCGGAGGGGGGCAAGCGCGCAAAGTACAGGCGGTTGGGCCTTGGGAACCGGGGCGTCGAATGGGGGCACGGGATTGAATTCAGGGGCGACGGGTGCTGGTTTTGTGAAGGACGAGCTTGAGGAGGAGATGGATGACGTGGCAGCGAAGCTGGCGTTTTGGCGAAGCACTCAACAGCGAAGCGCTTTTAAGTGCTGGGAGGAGTGGCCACTCACGAGCGGGGCGCAGGTGGTAATCGGGGGAGCGGAGGAGCGGAGGGAGAACGAGAGGGTGGGGGAAGTCGGTGAGGAGGAAGAGGAAGATGAGGAAACGAGAAGGGAGAGAGAACTCGAATGGGAAGAGCACTATGGGAATCCAGTGGAGAAGCGAACATTTGTGATGTGGAAGGATACGGTATCTACACTACCGAACTGGACACATCTTGAAGCGGGTGTTATGCTTATAAAGGGGGACTTTCAAAAGGACAGTGCTGTGGATGCGCGATTGCGGATGCGGCTGTGGGAGACGGAGAGCGGACGCGATATGAGCGGAATATTTGTAGATTGCCTTGTTCTTAGAGAGACAGGCATTCCTTGCGAGTGTTTATGGTAATTCTACAAAGGCAGATCACATGAGGCCCTAAGGCCATGTTCAGATACATTTCTTACTAGAGAAGAAACTATATCAATCAACTGATACACTACCACTAATCTCAGTGTCGAAATGCGCTTTAGGAAGGAAGCTCCTCCTCTGTAGCCTCAAAAGAGGAAGGCAATTGCTCCTCAGTGCCCCCTGCACTCCTCCCTCCCATCTCCCTCCCACCCTCCCCCGCTTCATTCCCTTGCGCAGCCCCTTGAGTTTCGTCTTGAGTCGCATCTTGGGTGCTCTCCTCCACTCGCGGTTCATCTTGAGTCGCATCTTGGGTACTCTCTTCCACCCGCATTTCATCTTGAGAGGCATCTTGGGTACTCTCTTCCACTTGCGTTTCATCTTGAGTCGCATCAGGAGTTGTGCCTTGCGTATTCGTGTCCACTTCTTCCCCTATCGCCTCCCCCTCCTGCCCACCACCTTCCACCTCCCTACCCCCTTCTCCATCTCCTCCAACATCAGCTCGCTCCTCCGACCCATCACCACCCCTCTCTTCCCTCCTCTTCATTCTCCTCTCCTCTTTCCCCCCGTCCACCGCTGAACCCCTCCTCTTCTTCCTCACATACTTCCTCTCGCCTCCCACTGGCTCAGCCACCAACACGCCGCCTCCTACTGGCTGACTCAACCCTGGCCCTGAACCATCCTCCCTCCCCTCCGCTGACCCTTCCTCTCCAACCTCCCCTTCCTCTTCTCCCCCTGACTCATTCACTCCTCCCTCCTCTTCCTCTCCCTCACCTTCCTCCCCAGCACTTTCTTCAGATTCCTCCTCTTCCAAACCGCCAGCAGCCCCAGCAGCACCACCAGCATCAGCGCCAACAGCATCAGGACCAACAGCACCACCAGCAGCAGCAGCAGAAGAGAAGGAGAGTTTTTTGCGCTTGACAGCGGATGCAGTCTCATCCACACCACCACCATGACGTGTCCGTCTCCTGCCCTCTCCGCTCCCTCCCACCCCCCCTCTCCCCTCCTCAACGCCCTCCCTGTGAATGTCTCTGTCTGCTTCTGCTCCACCTCCTGCCTCATCTGACACAGCACCTGAAGCATCATCTGCAGCACCAGGTGCTGCCCTGCCTGCCGGTCCATCAGCCACGCTTTCCTTAACTGTAGCTGCAGCAGGTGCAGGCGGCGGTGCTGTCGCTGCTCTCTCCGTCAGAACAGACGTGAAGGCCAACAACGGCTCAGATGATGCCACGTCATCAGCCACATCTTCATCCACGGCTGACACCCTCTCCTCTAATGCATTGAGACTGACCAGGGGAAAAGGATGGGGAGGGAGGAGGCAAGGCAAGGAAGTCAGATGCTGTTGAATAGCTGGAACCAAAACCAAAACCAAACCGATACCACCCATACCACCCATACCACTCATAACACCCACACCACACCACACTACACCACACCACACCACACCACACCACACCACACCATGCACCACAATGCCACATTATGAGGAACCAACACTCACATGCTTCGGGCGTCATTTCCAAGAAGCTTCGCAGAAAACGGTAGAAGCGCGCATTCGAGAAACGCCAGCCGGTCGGGCAACGACTCAAAGGCGAATGCCACCCCTTCCTGCACCAGCTGCCGAATCGCCGCCCGCTGCTCGACCAATCGCTGTGCAGAGAACTGCGGGGCGGCTGCTACAGCTGCCAGCCGGGCTGCCAGGCTGGCACAGCGTCCTACAGATGCTGGGCTTGGCGAATGAGATGGTGCCACGTCATCCTCTGTGTGCGAGTGGTTGGAGATGAGTGGGAGAGTGGGAATAAAGGTCTGATGTTGGGGAAGGGGGAGGGTTAATGGAGGAGAGGGGAGGGGAGGACAGGAGAGGGCAGCCAAGGGAAATGAATTAAAGAGTGACCTGGTTAAGGAAAGTAAACGTCACTTAGAAGCAACTAGACACGGACATCCAAGCACCGCCCCGCCCACTCACCATTTTCAGTGCCTGAAGGAAAATCCGCCACAGCTCAAACTTCCCTCCCTCGCTTGCCGCCCGCTTCTTCCTCTGCTGCAGATGAGACAAAAACAGCCGTGCCACCCCGTCCTCCCTCTCCTCATCCTCCCCCTCCTCCCCCTCCTCACCCCCATCATCCGTCTTCTCGCCCCTCCCCACCACCACAAGCCGTGAGAGCACAGCAGGCGCCAGCAGCTCAGGGTCCACAGCACCGCACAGCACCAGCTTGGCTGCTGCCGCCACCACTCTCTCTTCCCCTCTTTCCGACACCCTCTCTTGCTGCCTCTCCTGTGTGCTCTGTCCCCTCTCTGCTGAGCAAGGGGGAAGCAGACGACTGAATGCCGCCCAGTAGGCGTTGACGCTGGCAGGTGTGACTGTAACAGAGAGTGGGTGTAGGAGCGAGTGAGCGAGCTTATGAGGCGAGAAGAGAACCCACAGGTCCGATATATGCTCCAAGACCTCTACTGCCAGCTGCTGCAGCTGCCGCCACCGCTGCTGCTGCTCTCTCTGACCCTCCCTTTCCACTCCACTGCCTCCTCCCTCTTCCTCCTCGGCTTCCTCATCGCCCTGCTCCTCCCCTCCTCCGTTCACTGCTATCCTTCCCTTCGCCCCTGCTTCCATGAGCCTCAGCAGCACACCCATCAGCCGCCCCTGCCTTTCCCTCACCTCCTCCTCTTGCTCACCCACCTCTTCACTCACACCACCAGCACTGAGCCCTCTTTCCCCCCCTGATTCCCTATCAGCCTCAGCACCTCCTGCAGCACCTGCTGCGTCTCTCCCTGCCGCGTCTGCCCCATCACCTGCCGTCCCCTTTTTGCCCACTGCAGTGACGAGTTTCTTAAAGCCCCACACGAGCAGCAGCACCAGCGAGCGGAGCACTGGCGATGCCAGCTGGACGGACCAATAGGGGAACGAGAGGAGGTGGCAAGAGGAGTCAGGCAGCAGCAATGCAGAGTGAGAAAATCGAGTCAGTAGGAAACAAACCGCAGCACTTCGCAGAGAAAAAAAAAGACCCCCTTGCGGACTGAAGAGCAGAGAGTGCACAGGAAGTAAGCGTATGCTGACCTGAGGGTGCTTATAAGGAGGAAATTTCTCCAGCAACCGAAGGAGCAGAGCAAACAGGTCCGGTGGTTGCATCCCATCTGCAGCAGCAGCAGCAGCAGCAGCAGCAGCAGCAGCAGCAGCAGCAGCAGCTGAATCAGTGCCACCAGCGGCAGCAGCGGGGGCGGGGAGGAAGGGGGTAGGGTCCGCTTGCAGGAGGAAGACAGCGAGGCGAGTAGCAGCCACCGAGAGAGAAAAGGTGTCCACGTCAGCTGCAGGGGTGCCTGACGTGGCCTGGGGTGGGGTGGGTGGAGGGGGATGGCAGAGAGACGTGATGCATGAAGGTAGTAGGGTGCGTCTGCGTTCCCAACTCATCTCCAGAGTGGTGAGGAAGAGCACTGTGTGCCTCCTCCCTCAGTCACACCACCATCACACTGGCACAGCACCCTTCACTTGCTCCCCCAATAGATATTCCGAAACTCACATTATGCCTCCTCCCTCAATCGCCCCACCATCACACTGCACACGATCCCCTCACGATCCCCTCCTCCACCTGCTCCCGCATGTCCCCATGGGCGCACCACATGCACCTGGGTTTGCAACTCACATCCACAGCAGCACGAGCGCTGTGTGCCTCCATCCTCAATCGCCCCACCACCACAGTGCACACGGCGCCCCTCACTGACTCTTCCCCCGCCTTTACTCTAAAACTCACCTCCACAGCAGCACGAGCGCTGTGTGCCTCCTTCCTCAATCGCCCCACGCTGCGCACAGCACCCCTCACTGCCTCCCCCTCTGCTCCCCAACGATAATTTGAGACTCACCTCAAGAGCGCTTAGTGCATCTTCTCGCAATCGCCCCACCACCACACTGCACACGAGGTGACTTTTGAGTCGACTCAAAAGTCACCTCTTTTGAGTCGACTCAAAAGTCACCTCATCTTCTCGCAATCGCCCCACCACCACATTGCACACGGCGCCCCTCACAATCTCCTCCGCTTGTTCCCGCATGTCCCCATGGGAGCGCCACATTCACCAGAGTTTCTAACTCACCTCCACAGCAGCACGAGCACTTGGTGCCTCCTTGCTCACTCGCCCCACCACCACACTGCACACGGCGCTCCTCACTGCCTCCTCCCCCGCCTTTACTCTAAAACTCACCTCCAGAGCAGTGAGTGCTTCTTCCCTCACTCGCCCCACCACCACACTGCGCACGGCGCCCCTCACTGCCTCCTCCGCCTGCTCCCCAATCATGCTTTGCAACTCACCTCCAGAGTGGTTTGAGCCTCCTCTTTCACTCGCCCCACCACCACACTGCGCACGGCGCCCCTCACTGCCTCCTCCGCCTGCTCGCGCATGTCTCCCTGAGCACGCCACATGCACCGCAGCAGCACACGTGTCGCTGCCGCCATCACCGCCGTGCTGACGTGGCGCGCCAGGCTGTCACGCGCCGCCGAGAGGATCGCGAGGAGAGGCTGGTGGATGGTGGTAACCACAAAACCAGAAATTGAGAGAGAGAGAGGGAGGGTTTCTTTTTGGAACAACGGGAAACAGGTTCCTTTTACACTGCATGAAATGTGCGTGCATGGGTGAGCATGGAGGCGTTGAAACATGCGTGCATGGGTGAGCATGGAGGCGTTGAAACATGCGTGCATGGGTGAGCATGGAGGCGTTGAAACATGCGTGCATGGGTGGGTGTGGTAAGGAAGAAAAAAGGGTTTTCATCCACTCATTTCCTGCTGCGGTCCTCTGCCAATAAAACACCTTTGAGAACCACAGCAAAAGCCGGCTGCAGTCCCCTGCCACCAGAGCACCTGACACCAACTTAAGTGACTTTTGAGTCGACTCAAAAGTCACCTTAAGCTGACACTCGTAGAGTCCAGCCTTCCCCACTCCACTCACCCCCAGCTGCTGCTGGTCTGCAAGGTTCCCCACCTCCAGACGCGTCAACTTGCGTCCAGACGCGTACAGATACGTGTGGGCAAGGAGTCACACCAACAGACTTGACAAAAAGCCATCCCTCCCCACTCACCTCCTGCTGCTGCCTGTGCGCCAGCGCACCCACGTCCAGACACTCTGCTGCTTCCACTCCCACATTACAACTGGACATGCAACCCGATTAATCTAACAAACTGCAATCATCTCCCCACCCACCTCCTGCTGCTGCCTATGCGCCAGCGACCCCACGTCAAGACACTCTGCTGTTTCCAGCAGCCGCAGCAGCACGCGCTCATCCGCCACGTGGCGCCTCATCATTGGCGGAAGCACCTTCACGAGCGCCCCTGTCATCTCCGCCACCACTGCTGCTTGCCGATCCTGGTCCATCCACAAGAGGGACGGGAGGAAAGAGAGGGGGGGGGGAGGAGGAGGTTTGGGGGAGGGTTGGGTGTGAGTGTGGGCGTGTGTTACCAACTCGCACCTTCAGCAGCGCCCCTGTCATCTCCGTCACCCCTTCTACCTGGCGCTCCTGGGTGGGTCCACAAGGGGTGGGTGGGGGGAAAGGGGGCTCGGGGGGTGCGGAGGCGGGGGCGTGAGTGTGGGTAATGGGTATGTGTCACCGCCTCACCTTCAGCAGCGCCCCTGTCATCTCCATCACCGCTGCTGCGCGGCGCTCCTGGTGGGAAGGGGAGGAGAGCGGAGGTGGTGGAGGTACGTGGTGGGAATTGCTTGTGACAAGTTGGATTTGCGTATGTTTTCTGAGAATTAAAAAAAAACATACAGAGCGGAGGTGGTGGAGGTACGTGGTGGGAATTGCTTGTGACAAGTTCGATTTGAGGACAGAGAGGAATGCGTCACTGGCTCACCTTTGAGGCGCCTCAACAGCAGCTCACCTTCCTGGCCTTGGACACTGCAACAGGCCCTTTCTCTTCACGTTTGCAGCACTCCTCAGCACAACGGTCTTGAGAGAGGCAAGAGAGAGGAGAAGGGCGAGGAGAGGAGGAGCGGAGGAAAGAGAGGGTGTGGGTGCGTGAACCAACTCACCTTTTTGGCCTTGGACAGTGCAACAGGCGCCTTTCTCTTCACCTCCGCTGCACTCCGCGGCACAATCGGCAATCCCACGGTCTTGCGAGCAGCGAGGGAGAGGAGGAGGGCGAGGGTGGGCGTGTCGGCTTCGGGAGGAGGAGGCGACGAGGGGAACGAGGGGGTGGAGGAGGAGGGAGGAGTGGGGGAGAGCGGCTGGGAGGAGGGGGAGAGGGGCGTGGCTTGGGTGTCTGACTGCAGTAGCAACTTCCCAATTGACTTCAAGTCCTGATGGGAGGGATGGAAGGGAATGAAAGAGCATTCGCATGCAGTAGCATTCACATGCAGCGAGCCAATCACATAGCGACACGCCTGCAGCATTCACATGCAGCGAGCCACACAGTCACCATGAGAGGGCTCACCATGAGAGTGAGGGCTCACCATGAGAGTGAGGGCTCACCATGAGAGTGAGGGCTCACCATGAGAGTGAGGGCTCACCATGAGAGTGAGGGCTCACCATGAGAGTGAGGGCTCACCATGAGAGTGAGGGCTCACCATGAGAGTGAGGGCTCACCATGAGAGTGAGGGCTCACCATGAGAGTGAGGGCTCACCATGAGAGTGAGGGCTCACCATGAGAGTGAGGGCTCACCATGAGAGTGAGGGCTCACCATGAGAGTGAGGGCTCACCATGAGAGTGAGGGCTCACCATGAGGGCCGGTACTCGCTCCCACAGCGCATCCACCACGTACCCAGCCTGCACCGCATCCCCACACGTCTGCAGCATTCGCACCACCACCACCACCTGCCTCCCTGCACCCTCCTCCGCCTCCCCACCCTTCCCTCCCCTCTCATCCACCCTCTTGCCTCCCCCCTTGCCTTTCCTCGGGCCTGCTTCGGATGCAGCGGCTTCAGCAGCAGCAGGAGAGGCAGGGCTGGGGGAGGAGGCGAGGAGGAGGAGGAAGAGGACGTTGCAGGCGGCGAGTCTGAGCGGCAGGCAGTCGTCCGTGAGGCGATCAGAGAGGAGAGCGACGGCACGGTTGTGTGGGAGGGTGTCGTTGCTGGGAGGGAACACAGCAGGGGAGAAAGAGTAAGGAGAAGGGGGGGGGGGAAGGGAAGAATGGGGAGATGAGGACAGGAGTGGAGTCTGAGCGGCAGGCAGTCGTCCGTGAGGAGATCAGAGAGGAGAGACATGGCACGGTTGTGTGGGAGGGTGTCGTTGCTGGGAGGGAGCAGCAGGGAAGAAAGAAGGTGGGGGAGGGTGAGCGAGGAGATGAGGGCAGGCGGCGAGTCTGAGCGGCAGTGTTGATGTTGCTTTTTGCTTTTGAGGATTCTCAGAAGCAACATCAGTCGTTTGTGGGGCAGTGAGAAACAGAGAGCGATCGGCTGGCCTGGTGGGCGCAAGAATGGAAGCATGTTGATATGTAATGGACTACAATCAGGTACTGCAATCATGTAAGCATGTAAGCATCCACAGCAGCTTACCTGGCGAGCAGCTGGACCAACGAGACAGCAGCCACTGCCACGTCAGCATCCACGTCATCCACCATCTGCTGCACACGTGGCACGAAGCGCTCCGAAAAGACGCCAAGCGCCGGCAGATTGTCCTCGCTGGCGTAGAGCGACTGGAGCGCTGACAGGGCCGTGAGGCGGACGGATGCCACCTGGCAGAGGGAGATTGGAATAGAAAATCAAGCGGACATCAACGAGAAATGACGCACTACGACAACTTAAGGGTTTACGTGAAGGGTTTTGAGTTAACTGATGACAACTTACAGAGCTCTCATCCTGCAGAGCTCTCACCTTGTCGTTGAGCGAGAAGCGGAGGTACTTGAGGTAGACATCACCCAGGAAGAGCGAGGGGTGTGAGCATGCGAGCACCCTACTGCCGCACCGCACGTACCTTACCAGCTTTGCACAGCACCCACCGCCCACCTTGTCATTCAGCGATAAGCACAGGTACTTGAGGTAGACATCATGGAGGAAGAGGAAGGGCTGTGAGCAGGCCTTGTGATAATCTATTGTACACCGCAATGCCCACTGCCCACCTTGCCCACTGCCCACCTTGCTTAGGTGCCCACCTTGTCATTGAGCGAGAAGCCGAGGTACTTGAGGAAGACATCATCGAGGAAGAGCGACGGGTAGCGCGTCACCCACTGGCCCAGCGCCGCCACACACGCTGCTCTGATGGCCGGATCGATGTCCCGATGGCGATGCGTGATGATGCTGGCGGGGGGATTGTGAGGGGGTGTAATACAGGATGCCAGTAAGGGGGGGTGCAAAAGGGGGAGGTGGGTGGGAGGAGTGATGGGAGTCGTGCCTGACACCCACTGCCCCACTGCCCCAGCGCCGCCACACATGCTGCTCTGATGGCCGGATCCACGTCGCGATATCGATGCGTTATGATGCTGCACTGCAAGAGGGGGTTGGGTTACAGAAGGATTTTGAGAATCTATTGGAGTCCGCGTGACGATGGCTAAGATGGGGGTTACGGAAGGTAGGCAGAAGAGCAGACGGTGAATCAGCACCATTCCAGTGCTGGCATACACCACTCTGCACCATTTGTCACCCACCACTCATCACTCCTCACGCACCCTGTGAACCCTCGCCGCATGACCCCTTCCAGCATGGCCACCTGCCCATGAATCGCATCCACCTTCGCTTGCAGCTCCACCGCTGCCCGCCTGCTCGCCCCTCCGCTTCCACCTCCCCCACCTGCCCCCTCAGACCCATCCCCCAGTCCTGCCGCTTCCCCGGCGTCCCCATCCCCTCGTCCTTCCCCACCTCCCCCAGTAGACCCCTTCCTCTTGCTCCTCCTCACTCCTGTTCCTCGGCTTTCCGCCCCTGCTCTTGTCGCCTGCTGCTCCTGCTCTTCCGACCGTCGGATCGCGGCCTGCAGCTGCCTCTGAGCCGTGGATTGCGATTCGGAGAGCACGGAAGCGACGGTGATGATGGAGGAGATGAGCTGCAGTGCCACGAGTGTTGCCACGTGGCGGAATATGCGGGGGGAGGAGCTGGGGGGAATAAGGGGAAGAGAGGGGGACGCGGACGCAATATGAGGAGAGGAGGGACGAGGAGAGCACGGAAGCGATGATGGACGAAATGAGCTGCAGCACCACGAGTGTTGCCACGTGGCCGGAATATGCGAGGGGAGGAGCTGATGGGGAGGGGAGGCAGAGGGGGGGGAAAGGGGGAAGGGAGGGGAGGGAGTAGGTCTGGAGTTCGGGGAAAGTGAATCAAGCATGTTCTGTCAGACGGCAAAGGTGAGAATGAGGAACTGGAGACAAGGAGGAGAGGTAGAGACGCACAATGGGCGGCAGGCTGACGTTATAGACACGAAGACGGAAACGAAGAGCAGCAAAAAGCAGGGATGCGCAGAAAGAGGCAGAGGGAGGAGATGCACGAGCAGAGAGCAACGGGGGAGGGAACGTACGAGGAGAGGGCAACGAGGTAGTCAAGAAGCGTGGGCAGGAGCTGGGAGTCAAAGAGAGAACCTTCCCGGCCCCCCGCCACCACCAGCGCATCCCAGAACAGCAGCAATGACGTGCGGAACGATGCCCCATCGCCACCCTTGCCACTGCCACCCTTGCTGCCCTTGCCGTCGTTGGCAGTGGAGTGGTGGTGGCTGTGGTGCGGTGGAGTGCGGTGCAGATGGTCGAGCAGGGCGACCTGGCGGGCGGAGTCGACGAGGGTTTGCACGACGTCGTCCACACCGACTCCCTCTGACATGATGGCATCGTCTCCCATCACCACCTGCACCCCACACGCCTGGTTGGTAGGGGATGCGGACAGGACGCAACACATTGGAAAGTATTGAGTTGGCTCAAAAGCCCTCAAGGGTTTGCACGACGTCATCCACACCGACCCCCTCTGACATGATGGCATCGTCTCCCATCACCACCTGCACTCCACACGCCTGGTAGGGATGCGGCGGGTAGGGCAGCAGCACACAGACATGCGCGTACGTGCACGCACACACACACACACACACACACACAAGTTTTGAGTCGACTCAAAAGCCCAAGAGGGTTTGCACGACGTCATCCACCCTGCTCCCTCTGAGAGAGGATCGCATCGTCACCCATCACCACCTGCCTGCCATGGGTGCGAGTAAAATGGCACACAAGTTGGCTTTTGAGTCGACTCAAAGGTCAACTCGGTTTGCATGACATCATCCACCCCCCGCACTCCCTCTGAGAGAGGATCGCATCGTCACCCATTACCACCTGCACCCCACATGCCTGTCAGGGATGTGGCTGCGGCGACACAAACATACACGTGTGATGATGGCTACCAAGCACATGTTGCACATGAGGCGCCTCACAATCAAAATCGGCACATGGCTGCTTGCCTCACGAAAGTGCCAAGTCGATTACCTGGAAGAGCAGCTTGAGCAGCTGGGCCGTGGTATGAGTGCGGTTGAACTCATACCCCTCCATCCAGATAAACAGAGCGACATGCGATTCACAATAAAGGAGAGTGCTACAAGGGTTACCTGGAAGAGCAGCTTGAGCAGCTGGGCTGTGGCATGAGTGCGGTTGAACTCATACCCCTCCATCCACCGGAACGCTGCTTCCTCCACGTCCTCTGCACTGCCCGCCTGGACTATGTCTGTGGGGGAGGGTGAAGACAACAGGGCACCGGACCAGAGCGATGCATTTTCAAAAACTGGAGAAGGTGGATGAAAATTTAGTCAACAAGGTGGAATCGGAAACAGTCAAGTACAGAGCCGGCACTCATAGACCCAAAACACAGGGATCACCCCACCACACAGAGTATCTTTCATAGCCCCTAAAAGAGCATCGTTCTCCTCTCTACAATATGTGTATTTCCCATTCCAACAACCCACCAAAAAGGCTTCGTTCAGAAGCAGTGAGCCGACCATCACCCCTTGGCACCTCCGCCCCTGCCTGCTGCCTCTGCTTGCCTGCTCCCTTCCGCTGCCCCTCCTCCCGCCCTGCCCCCACACCCTCCGCTTCTCCTTCCACCCCATGCTCCCCACCATCCGCCTGCGCCTCTCTCTCCCCCTCCAACTCCTTCCCTTTCCTTCGCTTCTCCGCTTTCCTTCCCTTGGGTGCTGCAACGGTGGGTCTACCCTCTACAATGAAAGCCCCAGCAGCAGCGGCAGCAGCAGCAGCGGTGGACCGAGCCTGGCCGCGAGGCTTGGCAAGAGCCTTGAGCGCTGCCTTGGGAGGTTTGGGAGCAGGTTTGGGACGAGGTGCGGCGACAGATTGCTGCTTATGCTTGACTTCCCCCCCCTCTGCACGAGGCCTCTTGCCCTTTTGTGAGCTGGGTACATACTCCTCTTCTTCCTCCTCACTCTCCTCCTCCTCCTCACTCTCCTTCTCTGAGCCATTTTCTCTCACACTCTCGTCCTCCTCCTCTTCTCCACCTTCTCCCTCCTCTCCCTCCACTTCAGCTCGCCTCTCCCCTCTTTCCTTCTCCCTTTCCTCCACCCGTTCCTCCTCGTCGTCCTCTCCTCCCTCCAATTCACCCTCGCCCACCTCCCCTTCTTCCACCTCCATTTCTTCTCCAGCCTCCTCCTCTTCCGCACCCTCCTCCTCCTCTTCTTCCTTCTTCCCTCCCTTTCCCCTTCCTCTCCTCCCATCCCCCTTCCCTCTCGCCACACTCGCTCTTCTCTCACGCTCCTTTCTGCCCTTCTCCCTCTCCACCACTTCACCCTTCGCACCCTTCCCTCTCAAAAAACTCGCCCTTCGCTCACTCACCTTCGCGCCTCCCTTCGCGCCTCCCTTCATACCTCCCTTCATACCTCCCTTCGCACCTCTCCTCACCCTCTCAGCCATACCCCCATCCTCACTTTTACGAGCCCTTGTGCTCCTGCGCTCCACCACAGCCCCGCCCTTCTTCGCCTTAACCCCCTTTCCTGTTTCTCTCCCCACCTCCTCTACTTCACCCTCCTCCTGCTCCTCCCCCTGCTCCCCCTCCTGCTCCCCCTCCTGCTCCCCCTCCTGCTCCCCCTCTTGCTCCCCCTGCTGCTCCTCCTCCTCCACTGCCGCAACTCTGTCACCACCTGCAGTTTCCTCTGCTTCTCTCACATCAGCCGTCTCTTCATCTGCTGCTCCAGTCACTGCTCTTCCTGCCCTTGCCGCTTCAACCTTTCCTTTTTGTTTCCCCTTCCCCGCCTTTTCCACCTTCCTTTCCTTCTTTCCCTTGTTCATCTTCCCTGCCTCTCCTGTCCCTCCTCCAACCTTACCCTTCTCCCCCTCCTCCCCCGCCTTCTCCCCCTTCTCCCCTTTCTCCCCCTTCTCCTCTTTCTCCCCCTTCTTCCCCTCCCCTCTCCCCGCTCTGCCTTTGCCCCCAGAAGTGGCAGCCAGCGCAGCAGCAGCCCGTTGCGCAGCTGCCCGCCTCTCCCTCCCTCCAGGAGGGGTCGAGAGCACTTCTAACCCAGGAGGCGTCGAGAGCACCCCCTCAACTGGAGGAGTCAGCAGCACATCTCCGCTTGCTTCTGGCACCACTCCTGCTGTCGCTCTGCTTCCCACGAGTGCTGCACCCGTAGCTGCAGCTCCTGTTTCCACTGCTGCTGCACCTACCCTCGCCGCCACATCCTCTCCTGTGTTTCGACTCTCCACCCCTCTGCCGCTCTCCTTCCCTCGTCCCTTCTTCCCCCCTCTCCTACCATAACTCAAAGTACCACCTGTCTTGGCCGTTTTCCCTGCCACCGCACCACCGCCTGCTTCTGCCTCACCATCGCCCGGGCCAATCCTCTCCGTCCCTAACGATGCTCCCTGGGGCCCGAGTCCTGCTCTTTCCTCTGCATCTCCCTCTGCTCCTCCCTCTGCCTCTCCTCCCGCTGGTCCCTCCGCTCGTCCCTCCGCGCGTCCCTCTGCCACTCCGTCCGGCCGTTCTCTCTCCTCATGTTCCTCTTGCTCCGTGTCCCCTGCCTCCGCCTCCGCCCCAGCACCCGCGTGCATGCCCTCTCCCTCCATTTCCGTCATCGCTCCTCCCGCATCCTTCTTATCTGCAATCAGCGACTCTCCTGCATCTCCTGCCGCTCCTGCCTCTCCCGCTTCTCCTGCCGCTCCTGCCGCTCCTGTGGCTTCTGCCTCTCCTGTCGCTCCCGCCTCCAGCCCAACCTCTGCAACGTCAACCGCTGGCCGTGCCACGTCAGCCACATTTACCTCCCTGAAGGTATGAAGGAGGGAAAGCGGATGACAAGCAAAGGTTGCAGCGAATTGAGTCAAAGTAAAAAACACTTCGTTTCAAGTAGGACACCACAGCAACGCAACAGCAAGCCCCACGAGCCAGCAGCAGGATGGTCAGAAAGGCCAGAAACCATGAGTTCGAACGAGCATGTGACTTGCCAAGAGTCTCACCCTGCCTTTCTCCTCTTCTTGGCGCTCTGCCCACTCGCACCCGCCTCTCTCCTTTTCTCCACCTCTGCTTCCTTCTCCGTCTCCTCCTCTCGCTGCTCCTCCTCCTCCACCTCTTCCTCCTCCCTTTCCTTCTTCCGCTTCCCTCGGGCCTTCGCACCCTTCTGCTTCTTTCCTCCCTTCGTCCTTCCCTTCGTCCCTCCCTTGTTCTCCTCCTCTCGTTCCCCCTGCTCCACTTTTGGCGTTTCCTTTCCCTCTCCTTTCGCCTGCCGCACGGATTGCTGCTGCGGCTGCTGCTGCTGCTGCGGCGGTGGCGGCGGCTGCTCTTTCTGCTGCTGCTGTTGCGGTTGCTGCTGTTGCTGTTCCTTCCTCTCTCCACGCTCCTGCCTCTCCCCCCGCTCCTGCCTCTCTGCCCGCGGCTGCCTTGCGCCCTGCTGGCGTTGCGCCAGCAGCGCCAGCCGCGCCTCCTGCGCCAGGCACGCATCGAGCGCCCCCTTGTAGTCGGGGAGGCAGCTGCTGCGCCGGCTGCGCGCGATCGCCTTCTCCCGCGCCTCGCCCTCGAACCTGTCTAGTTCGTCCGGCCCGCAGAACCGACTGGCACAGGGGGAGGAGGGGAGCAGAGGGAAGAGGGGAGAGGGGGGGAGGGGAAGCGAAGAGAAAGGGGATGAGGAGGGGAAATTTCCGGTATCAGTACGTTGCGTGCTCCTTCGCCGCGTATCTGCAAATTTGTCCAGCTTGAGTGGCATTGCAAAAACGGCTGACATGCGGGGAAGGAAGGTTGGACGAGTCAACCCGGTCATTTGAGCACGGAAGCGGGGTCGGAATAAACAACGCGAACGGATGATAATCGACAAACGGATTCTTGTTCGCACAGAATGCTACCAACGCTATGAATAGACGACGGCCACCCGGGCACTTACGCTTCTCGTGGTCGAGAACATATGATCAGTCGCAACTAAGAAACTAACACTTGTGGGAATCAAGAGACTCACATCTGTCGCGGTTGCAGGAACAGGACGAATATCTTTCCTTCCTGCGGTTCTTTCTTGAACTTGTACGGATCCATGACCTGCTCCGAAGCAACCCAAGGAGACACGGCAATCATTGAAAGGTCGATGCATTCAGCATAGGGACAAGAAAGGTAACAGAATCTCGAGCACGTCGAACGAACAAATATGTGCATAATAATTGAAGGTTAAATACCGAAAAATGGTGAAAAGGCTGCATGTGGAGAGAACTACCTGAGCCGGCCATGGCGGATAACCCTGAACCTTAGCGAGGACCAGCGAGCCCACCGGCCACGAGTCGGCTCCCGCGTCCATGGCTATCGCTGCTGCTCGGACCTAGATAATCAAATGCCAGGCTACAACCAGGCTTTGAGACGTGTCTTCAGACGTCTCGGAACTCGACTCTTTAGCTCGGACTTGAGTACCAGGTTCCAGATCGGAGCTATTTAGTCTATTGCCAGGTTACAAGCGGTTACGAGCGGTTAGGTACCTGGTGGGTTGTGTTACTAGAAAAAAAATACTACAGGTAAGGAGGAAAATTAGTGCGTAACCGTGGAAACGCGTGAAGAACGGGAATAGAATATGACATGAAACGGACAGCGCGGGAAGTATCGCAATTCTTCGGACACAAGGACACTCTCAACGCGAAAAGAGCCTCGTGGGCTCCCCCACCAGCAGCCATACAAGCAACCTGCTAACAACTGGAATGAAAGGCTTTTATCGGTGTGAGTGGTGCGGGGATGACTGGAAACAATTGAAGAGAGCGTTGCTTCAAAACACGTAGTGGGAGGCAAGGCAAACAACGGAGTCGTGCAGGTGAAGAATGCTGCAGAAGAGGGAGGTGCCTAAATTTGGCGGGAAGCCATTTTCGAAACATTGAAATTGCCACGAGCCTTTTACGAGCATCTTAGGTGTAGCGAATTACACGCAGTGATGCTTAATCGTTTCAAACACTCAAATTAACAGTTAGTAATCAGACATGCATTTCACATGCTTCAAAATGTGCTCACTTCCTAAACGCTGGCCGAAGAATAGCAGGCTTTACTCTAATGAGCAGCACTTCAAAATAATGCTGAGCCTTTTTACTATCCACAAGCTCAGCAACTCTACTGTCCCACCACTAAATCATTGCTCTAAGGTCTACGCCAGAACCGTGTGCATTCTGGCAAACCTTTCTTCCCAAACCCCTGTCAGTGAACACAGCCACCCTAGAATCCCCATCAGCATTCCCTATCGGTCCACACCTCCACTTCCCCCACCTGTCGACATAGCACCCGCCCCAGAACCATTTTCAGCAGGCAGGGGTGGGCCCCACTTGCCATCAGGATCAGAAGGCTCTAGCACATGCACTGAACCGTCACTCAGACCCAAAGCGAACTGGTTAGGATCTTGCGGGTGAGCTGCGACCACCATTGGCACCACAAGACCCGGTCTGCAAACACGGAAAAGTGATGAGCGCATCGAACACAAGGGATTGACGATGGGTCAGGGAAAGGAAGAAGAGAAGCTTCAGACAGCCCTGCGTTGAGACAACTGAAGGCAAGGAGAGTGAGGTAGGAGCAGAATGCAAGAAGGAACATGTAAGGGGCATGGATACTCCGCGAAGGGAAAGGGAGCACGTGGCAAGAAAACAACGTGCATAACCATTGCGAGAAGGTAAGGGAGAAGAGTGAGCGCGACGTGCGTACCCGACAGACGGCGCATACGCCGAAGGAGCAACGCGGCACCGCGGCCGAAGACTATCCCCGTCAAACACACACACAGTCGCATCCGCGAATGCAGCAAGCACGAGCGAGGAGTCACACGAATACGCAGCGGCAGTGATGGGCGCGGAGAGCGGGCCGAGGTCGCGGGGCAGCCACTGGCGCAGGCGGTCGAGCTTGGCGGCGTCGTAGATGGCGAGCTGCGACTCGTGCACCACCAGCAGGCGCTGCTGGTCGTTGTGGAACTGCACCCTCGTGTCCGCCTGCTGTGTCGGGGATGAGCGCGACGGGAGAGCCAGCGGGCGGGATTTCCGCTTCTCCCACCCGTCCGTGCTCCAGAGGAACAACTGGGGAGGGGAGAGTTGAGGGGGGAAAGAGGGAGGGGGTTGGGGAGGGAGTGGAGAGGGGTGGAAAGCTAAGAATGGGAAAAGGGAGAGCTGCGACTCGTGCACCACCAGCAGGCGCTGCTGGTCGTTGTGGAACTGCACCCGCGTGTCCGCCTGCTGCGTCGGCGACGAGCGCGACGGGAGAGCCAGCGGGCGCGATTTCCGCTTTTCCCACCCGTCTGTGCTCCAGAGGAACAGCTGGGGAAGGGGAAGAGGGGGGAAGAAGAGGAGGGAGCCCAGGGGAAAAAGGGTAGAGGGGGGAGAAGAGAAGGAAAGTGGGATGGCAGGAGATAAGAGCAGGTGCTGATTGAAGAGTGTGTGGGGGAAAGATAAAAGGGTAAGAAAAGGGGACCAGGTATGAGGTCACTAGGGATCAGTTCATAAGCACCATGGCACGAATAGGAATAGGAACCAGTGGTAGCGAAGCGAGGAGGGAAGCTCAATAAGTTAACCCTCCTCCTCCCCTCACCTGTAAATCACACTCTCCTCTCCTCACCTGCGAGTCAGCCCCAGAGGACACGAGGCTGTTGAGGGCGTTGGAGAAGGCAAGCCCTGTGATGCGCTTGCTGTGCCCCTTCAGCTTGCTCTTCACCTGTTACCATGAGATGGGGGGAGAGGGGGAAGAGGAGGGAGGCCCAGAGGGGGGGGGGGAGGTATGGCACTTCAGAAAGACGCCCTGTGATGCGCTTGCTGTGCCCCTTCAGCTTGCTCTTCACCTGTTACCATGAATGACGGGGGTTGAGGGGGGAGTGGGGTGGATGGAAAGGGAGGAAGTGGGGCGGGTGCAGGGGCCAGAGGGGAGGAAAAATGTGAGTCTAATGCACATTGTTCGGACGGCGATGGCCCAGGTGGAGGGAACGTCAGCTGCTGGAACAGTACCACACCTTTACCCACTACAGCCCTAGAGCAATCCCATGGCTACATCATGGTGCTTTCCATCAAACAGGAGAGGGAAGAAAAAAAATGCAAGTTGAAGAAGTTTTGAAGAAAACCAGCAGCGCTCATGCCCGTGCCTTGCTTGACCTGCCGGTGGAGTGGAACGCTGCTACTGGGAGAGGTGGCTGCTGCGGAACTGGTAATATCGCTTTCATGACCCCATCAAGGGCCAAGGAAGTGCTCACCTCGTCGAGGCGCACATTGTAGATCTGGATGGTTGCATCGTCCATGCCGATGGCGATGATGTTGTTGTCCTGCGGGTGGAACGCTCCTGCCTCGGGGAAGTGGCTACCGCAGAGGCAGTGCTTTCCCACCCGGGCCCCTGCCCTGCTACAGCACCACCACTCGCCCAATTAGAGTCCTCACCTCGTCAAGCCGGACGTTGTAGATCTGGATGGTGGCATCGTCCATGCCGATGGCGATTATGTTGTTGTCCTGTGGGTGGAACGCCAGGAAGGTGGCTGCTGGGGGCGGCGCCATGAACGTCGTCATCACCTGGTCAACAAGGTCAACACAATATAAGAGAGGTCAACGCAGGACAACGAGGGGCAATGGGGAGTGATATGCATGCCACAGGGTGCGCCCTCACACACACACGCGCGCGCGCACGTAGGAGTCGTTGTTGGCCAGCGCAATGCACGCCATCAAATGGGCTCCCTCACTCACTCACTCCCTCACACACACCCGCACACACCTTGAAGGTGAGCATGTTGAAGAGCGAGACCTTGCCCCCCGAGGCGGACATAACATACGAGTCGTTCTTGGACAGCGCTATGCACGCCACCGGGTGCGCTCCCTCCCGGTCATCCGAGCTCACATCGCCCATGTCGTTCGTCATCATGATGCCGCTCGCCGGCTGCCACAGCTGCGGGACAGAGCTCGCAGTGGCCTGCACGTGTGATGGGTACGAAAGGGAGGACCGTTACAGGTACTCAAAGTTACAGAAGCATCAAACAACTAACACTTCCGCCTCTTGAAAAGTGTCTCGTCGGACGGTGCCTACTACATTATATCGAATTAAAAGAATTACAATGATATAGAATAATTCTCTAAATGCATATGCATGTGTTCCCATAGTACTGACCGGTCCTTTGGTGTTGCGGCCGGAGCACTGCCACTTCCACAGCTCGTGCACAGCATTGGCAGAAAGCGCTTACTACAGTAAACCCAATACATTCAGCTATAAAGGTATGATATATGCATATCACGATGTAAATATATGTATAATTTGTGTAACACTCACCAGTCCTTTGGTGTTGCGGTCGGAGCGCTGCCACTTCCACAGCTTGTGCACGGCATTGGCAGAGAGCGCCAGCAGTGCCACACCTGAATTGGTGTAGATCAAACGCAGCACCTTGCTAGGCGGCAGACTGTCCGGCAGGCGGGCGGCCCGGACCTGCGAGGTTCGGAGTGACGGAGGGAAAAGACAGGTTGGGATGGCGGAGGGAAGGGAGGGAAGCACCGGCACAAGAGGGAAATGCAGGCAAGTAGTGGTTAAGGGCATGGAGAGAGACAGAGAGAGCAGTGAAAGCAGATCGTGATGAGGGGCAGGAGAGGGGACTCACAGGCCAAATGTGAAGACAAAAGCAAGGTTGGAGACAGGAGAGGGGAGGTGGAGAAGGTGGAGTGGGACAGACGGGGAGAAGGTTAGAGGGAGAAGGGAGAGGGGGAGCGGGAGAGAGAGGGGGAGCCGGAGAGAGAGGCTACCTGTGAGGGCTCCGAGAACTCAGTAAGCTTCCATCCCTTCTTGTCTGGCCCGTCCTCCTGCAGCCTCTGATGTGAGCAGAGCAGGGGCGTGGAGGGGGGGTTGGCGGAGAGGGGGGTTGGGGGAGAGGGAGGATGGGGGAGGAGAAGGGGGATTTTTTTTTTAAGCAACTACAGTTACATCTTCCCGCAGCCTCTGCTGTGAGCAGAGCAGGGGCGTGGAGGGAGGGTTGGGGGAGGGAAAGGGTTCGGGAATGGGAACGGGGCCCCAATAAGTGGGGAAGGGAACTGAGGGAAAAGGGGGCAGCAGGACGGGTGGAGAGGTGGAAGGAGAGAGAGGGGATGCACTGGAGGGGTGACGTGAGAAGGTGAGAAGAAAGAATGCTTGAAGGACAAGAGTCTGTGAACGTCTGAGCTGAAGCACACCCTAAGCCACACACAAGAGACCAGCAATGCACTAGGAGAAAAGTCGTGTAAGAACCGCACCGAAGCAGTAAGAGCAGAAGCAGGGGACGAGCGATCCAACTGCTGTTGCTGCTGCTGCTGCTGCTGCTGCTGTTGTTGCTGCTGCTGCTGTTGTTGCTGCTGCTGTTGCTGTTGCTGTTGCTGTTGCTGCTGCTGTTGCTGTTGCTGCTGCAGCTGCTGCTGCTGTTGTTGAAGCTGCTGCTGCTGTTGCTGAGATGGCGCCTGGGAAGGGGGAGGTTGCTGAGACGCCTGAGCAGCAGCGGCGGCGGCAGCGGCGGCGGCTGCAGCTGCTGCTGCCTGCACTGCCTGCTGCTGCTGCTGTTGTGATGGAGGCTGGGGCAGGGCGGGTGGTGGCGGCTGTAGCGCACAAATGGAGGGGGGGAGGAGAGCAAGCATGAGACAGAGAGACGCATCAATTAACGCAAAGGGCCAATCAGGGAAGCAGAGGAATGCACGAAGCAGGAGGGCTGGGGAGCGGGATCTCACATATCCACAAATCTAAGCAGGACTGACTAGCCCACCAATGCACCCACCTTGGTGTCCACAGGTCTCTGGGCAGCTGCTGCAGCCGACTTTTGGGACGTCTCACAAGTCGTCTCTTTTGGGACGTCTCAAAAGTCGTCTATTTTGAGACGTCTCAAAAGTCGTCTATTTTGAGACATCTCAAAAGTCAAGCAAGACTGACTAGCCCACAGACGACCCACCTTGGTGTCCACAGGCCTCTGGGCGGCTGCAGCAGCTGCGGCGGCAGCAGCAGCGGCTGCAGCGGTGGCAGCAGCGGCTTCGAGGTTGCGCAGGAGGCGCAGGCCCATGTCGTTGGCAAGGATCTTCACCGAGTTGTCCGCTGCCGTCACCGCCAAGAGAGAACCCTCCCTGTTGAACCTCACTCTCGGACTCGCCTGGTGGGGAGGAGGGAGGGGGAGGAAGTATGAAGAGAGGCGTGTCAGGGACTGCTGCTATGCCATCAGTAGAATCGCATTTGAACCACAACCATGGAATCGCCTGGCTGTGAAGCGGCCGGCGTCGGCAATGAGCGTGTGAAGCAGGGTGCAGAACCTGATGGGCTACTCGTTCCCAGCACGTAAACCTATCCTAAACCCTGGGCAAGCAGAGTGGCTTCGAGATGGAGGAGAAGCGCTCACTGGCAGGCCACCATCGGCATCTAGTGTGCAGAGCATGGCAGTGTTGTCCATGTCCCAGAACTTGATCAGATACTCGTCGCCAGAGAGGCAGACACAGGGAGGCAGACTCACAAAGAAAGGAGCATCTCTCACAAGAGAGGCACACTCACTGGTGGAGTGGAAGCGCGCAGCACTCACTGGCAGGCCACCATCGGCATCTAGTGTGCAGAGCACGGCAGTGTTGTCCATGTCCCAGAACTTGATCAGGTACTCGTCGCCAGAGAGGCAGACACAGGGAGGCAGACTCACAAAGAAAGGAGCATCACTCACAAGAGAGGCCCACTCACTGGTGGAGTGGAAGCGCGCAGCACTCACTGGCAGGCCACCATCGGCATCGAGTGTGCAGAGCACGGCAGTGTTGTCCATGTCCCAGAACTTGATCAGGTACTCGTCACCGGCAACAAGCAGTTGCAAGGAGCATGACAGAAGAAAGATGGGAGAATCACTCACCGGCAGGCCACCATCAGCATCGAGTGTGCAGAGCACGGCAGTGTTGTCCATGTCCCAGAACTTGATCAGGTACTCGTCACCGGCGACAAGGAAGCGGTTGCGCGTGGTGTCAAACTGCACGACGCCCAGCGAGCGCTTGCGGAAACCCAGGTAGCTGCGCTTGATGGCACCCTCGCTCTCGTTCCACTCCACCAGTGACGTCTCGCCCTCCTTGCTCGTGCCACAGGAGAAGAGGCTGCGGAGGAGGCCGGGGGAGAGGGAGGGGGGTGGGTGGGTGGTGGGGAAGGTGAGGTGCAGCAACAGGTGGTGCACCACTCACTGTGTGCCAACAGCAGAAAGGGTCCCATTTTGATGCCATGGTCCAAGCCTGGTGACAGCTTCTTGTACATGCATGCAAGCCAAAAAACTGGTGGCTCGAATTGGAGGCACTGGTGACTCACCGCGTGCCATCAGCTGGGTACCCCATGGGGCATCATACTCCACTCTCTACGCCTGGTGACAGCTTGTTGCTCATGTATGGAAGGCGACATCTGAGAGTAAGCCAATGAATATGTGGCTCAAGTCTATTTGTGACTCACCGCGTGCCATCAGCTGGGTACCCCATGGGGCATCATACTCCACTCTCTACGCCTGGTGACAGCTTGTTGCTCATGTATGGAAGGCGACATCTGAGAGTAAGCCAATGAATATGTGGCTCAAGTCTATTTGTGACTCACCGCGTGCCATCAGCTGGGTACCCCATGGGGCATCATACTCCACTCTCTACGCCTGGTGACAGCTTGTTGCTCATGTATGGAAGGCAACATCTGAGAGTAAGCCAATGAATATGTGGCTCAAGTCTATTTGTGACTCACCGCGTGCCATCAGCCGAGTACCCCATGGTGCTGCACCACTTGCCCGGGGCATCATAGTCCACTCTCGACCCCAGGTGGTCGTACAGCCACGCCTTGATCTTGCCGTCTATGGCCGTCGAGAATATGAACTACAGGGGAAGGAGCGGTAAGGGAAGGGGTGGGGCGGAAGATGGAGAAGGGGGAGGGGAGAGGGAAGAAGGAAGATATAGCAAAGAATGGGAACAGAATCGGCATAACTGAAAAGGAGAAACAATGGTATTGGTGGCTGGACGTGGGAATATTCTCCGTACCTGAATGTTCTCCTTGTGGTGCGGGCACACGGAGTAGACGGGCGCCTCATGTCCCTCGAATGTGTACAGCTTGCGCCCACTGCTCGCCTCCCACACCTGGCGGTGTGCAGCATGGTGGATACGGGGAGGGAATGGGGCATGAGGCATGCGACATGCAACATGGGGCAACGGGGTATGGGGCATATGGCATGGGGAATGGGGCATGGGGCCATGTGGTCTGGGTGGGTCGATTGACATGGGACGGATGCATGCATATGCATCCCCACGCATATGCGCAAGCACATGCACATACGCGCACATCCATGTGCACACGCACATGCACGGGTTAACTCACCTTGATGGTCTTATCATCGCCGCATGTGATGATGCAGAGCTGCTTGTTGGGGTGAGAGAAGGCCAGGTCGTTCACTCCACCCACATGCGCGTCGATCTGCACACGCCGACAGGCAAGACCACACGGCAACAACACATGTGCTAGTGACAACCGTGTCGAGGTGACCTCGGGATTTGAAGCGAGCATGCATGGTGAGCATGGGCAAGCAGGATAATCATCAGCATGCAGCGAAAGCATCAACCCCGGCCTTCCTACATGTGTCACTGAGCTCAACAACCTCACGCACCTTGAGGTGCAGATAATCCGGTTCTGGTATGTGTAGATGTGCACCATGTGCTTTGAAAAGTTATCTATTCACTCAAAACGGTCCTTAACATTGCTTCAAGTGTCACTATGGCACGCGAACATACACACCTCGAGGTGCTGTCCCATGCTGCTTGGGTTCTGGTATGTGTAGATGTGCACCATGTGCTTTGAGAACGCCGCTCCTGCCATGCACCACCACCACGAGCAAGACAAGCAGCATACCACGCAAAGATGAGATGCCAACACTTGTAACGTCTCAAGCCAGAAGGGGCAAGGATAGAGTGAGGGAATCGCAAAGGTGCAAGGATAAAAAGAGAGGGAGGATTAGAGGGGCGAGAAACGGAAGCAAAGGGGGGGCGCAGAGGGGCGAGGACTCACCAAAGAGTTGCCCGTTAGGCTCCCAGATGACGCGATTCACAGCGATGGTCTGATCCTTCATCCATAGCGTCTGCAGGGCCGGGAAGAGGGAGGGAATGCAAAAGCTGTTCATTCATTGCCCCTTAACAACCTGAAGTGGAGGTCAATCAAGCTGTGGATGGAACCTGGGATTGCAGCAAGCACCTGACAGCTCACGTCAGCACCTGGGAGTACTGAAGACACCTGAGAGTGTTGCGCGCACCTGGAACTGCGGCGAGCACTGCTGGGGGTCCCAGAGCTTGAACGGGCGGTCCACCACCTTCTCTCGTGACCCCGCCTCCCATATCGCCACGTCCCCCGTGTTGCTGCCCACTGCACAGACACACATGCAAGCACGAGTGCACACAGACATGCACACACATCCGCATACACACGCATGCACGCATGCGAGCACACACACACTCACACACATGCAGAGAGATGCATACAGACATGCACGCACAACAACCATGCACACGCAACAAGCACAGGTGAACAGGGATGGTTGGGGCGGGCAGGATAGGGACAAGCAGGGACGCACAAGGACAGCAGCACATGGCAGCAGATGTCACTCACATGCGACGAACTGGCAAAGACGAAGGTTTAAAAGGTTAAAAAGCAGGAACACCAGGGAAGATGGTGGGGGTGACTGGGAAGCAGGAGGAGACGAAAGAAAACAGACATGGAAAAACGTGGCAGGTGGGAAGGGGCTGGAGGGGAAAGTGTACCGAGCAGCAGTGTGGGCTGGTACGGGTGGAAGTCCATGGTCATCACACACGAGCCCTGGTTCAGGTTCCTCGCAATTGTCTTGGGCAGATCCTCCACTGCATACCCGCCTCCTGAACCAACCCCTGCTCCTAGCGCCACTGGCCCCTGTCCCCCTGCTGCTGCTGCTGCCGCTGCAGCAGCTGCTGCTGCGGCGGCGGCAGTTACGGCACTCCCTAGGCCTGCCCCTGCTACGTTGCCTCCTATTGCTGGTACTGGCGGGCCTGGGATTGCTCCTGGGACAGGTGGCGGCTGCTGATTGGGCGGGACTTGGCCGTAGACCTGGTGGGGAGTGGGTGGAGGTGGAAGGGGGTGGGGCATTGGATTAAGGAATGGAAATTAAGAAAAGGAAGGCTGCCCTGTGCTCTGTGCTCTGTGCTCTGTGCTCTGTGCTCTGTGCCCTGTGCCATGCCTGTTGAACACAATCAGAACACCTCACCTCGTCCATGCCGCCCCTGGGCAATTTAAGCACCATGTAGGAGTCCCCTGTGCCTGGATACTCCACCGCCACCGGTTGTCTGGCGGCGCAGCGCCTGAGTTGACTCACAAGCAACCTCTCTCACACCCCTCAAAGAGCACCTCACCTAAATCCTGCACTTAAGAGCACCTCATCTCAATCACGCACTTAAGAGCACCTCACCTCTATCACGCACTTAAGAGCACCTCATCTCGCCCACACCCTCAAGAGCCTCTCACCTCGTCCATGCCGCCCCGGGGCCGCTTGAGCACCATATCGGAGTCCCCTGTGCCCGGATACTCCACTGCCACTGGGTTGCCTGGCGGCGTGCGCGGCCGCTTCAACATAGCTGCAGTGGGGCCGACAGCAGGCACGCAGCATGGACGGAGGACGGTCAGACCAGCAGCATGGACGGAGGGAACGGTCAGACACGCAGCATGGACGGAGGGAACGATCCAGGCCACCGGGCGAAGGAAGGGAACAGTAGAAACAGGATGCACAAGCACACAAAGGGGTCGCGTCGCGAGCTCCAGGGCATCAAACAACAGGACTAACAGCCACGCACCTGGGTTGGGGCCTGGGGGCAGGTTGGCAGGGGGGGGCGGCACCACGGCGTGGGGGGGAGGCGCAGCTGCAGGCTGCTGTCCGCCCATCCACCCCGCCAGGGCGGAGGCGGATGGTCCCCCAGGCTGGAAGGGCTGCAGTGGCTGCTGCAGGCGGGGGAACAACGGACGTGGTGAGGGGGCGGGGGCGGGGAGACAAAGGTTGGAGAGGAGGGGAAGGGAGTGACAAGAACATTGGATGTCTGTGAGCAGTGGGCACAAGTTTGCAGGGACGGGATGCCAGGCACCCCAACATTCACCATGCCACACACCACTGCACCCCCCGGTACCACCACACCTGACCTCCAAACTCCTATTTGTGAGGCTGAACCTCCCCCGGGCTCCTATCCCTAGACTCACCGCATGCCCGCCCACGCCCACGCCCACGCCAACCGGTCCCAGGGGAAACGGATGGGCCTTAGGCGGCTGCTGCTGCTGCTGCTGCTGTTGCTGCTGCTGTTGCTGTTGCTGCTGCTGCTGTTGAACGGCGGAGAGAAGCGAGTTGGGCGGAGCAGGCTGCTGCGGCTGTGTGCGCCCGCCGTTGGGCGCGGGGCCACAGGTGTGGTCCACAAAGAGGGTCTTGATGTCGGGGTTGGGGCGCGGGTTCTTGCACAGCTGGTGCTGCCAGTTGAGACTGGTGGGGATGGGGATGGGGATACAGGGCGGGGGGGGGAGGGTGGGGGGAGAGGAGGTAGAGAGAGAGGTTTCTTCGCACAGCGATGAGGAGGCAGAGGCTGTAGGTAACTTCATGAGGAAGCGCCGTCATTGTCTCGTCACCAAGGAGTCGATTCTCTGAACTAGCTACCATCAGCGACTTGAGCACATTATGGACTGAACGCATCAAGACAGAGAGGCAAGCAACCCCACCTCTGGTTGATGAGCGTGCGCAGGCGCGAGTTCTGAGGTTGGGGGGGACTGCAGCTTGTGCCTTTCGGGTCTGCTTTCGAGTCGACTCAAAAGAATCGACTCAAAGGAATCGACTCAGAACGCAACGCACCTCTGGTTGATGAGCGTGCGCAGGCGCGAGTTCTTGAGGTTGGGGAACTGCAGCTTGTCGCGGAAGAGCGGGTTGGCCTCGATGAGCTTCTTCAGCTCCAGCAGCATGATGTTGCGCGCCGACTTGGTGTCTCCGTACTTGCTCAGCTGCTCGTTCTCGCTGCACAATGCGAGCAATGCAGGATATGGGACGAGTGGAGAAGGTGGGGGGGGTGGGGGGTGGGGGGGGAAAGGGGGTGGGAGGGGAGGGAGGGGTAGGGGAGGGGGGAGGGGGGGAAAGGGGAATAGTTCAGCAGCATGATGTTGTGCACCGACTCGGCGTCCCCATACTCGATCAGCTGTTCGTTCTCGCTGCAGCTACGAGCAATGCAGAAAGGGCTGTGCGGAACCGAAAGGAGAGACGAGGGGGGGGAAATCGACGTGGCGAACGAGGCGGGACGAGAAAGCGTTTGTCGCGAGCACTCATACGAATGCTGGAAAAGGCGATGGTCGTTGAGTCAAGACTTGGCTGCACCATGGGCAGAGTCAAGTACGCGAAGAACTGCTGGTGACCAGCGTTGAAATTGATAAAGGGAATCAATCATGGTTGTTGACAGTTGACTAATGGCTGGAGGCGCAGTCCAAAAAACCGCGTTACAGAACCGAACAGACTTAGACCAATGCGCAGTAAAAAGAAACGTGTTACAGAACGGAACAGACGTTGACCAACCCGAGACGCGGAAACGCACCGGAAATTGTCCAGGGTCAGTAGTTGAGTGATCTCCTTATAGAGCTCCTCGTTAAACGATGCGAACACCTTGAGGTCCTTCACCAGGATCTCCACAGCCTTGGCTCGATCTTGCCTGAGAACCGACGAGCGAGCAGGGGAGGATACAATAATGTCGTAACAAGTTGAATGCAATAATAGCGGAGTCACAGGAGGGACAAACGGCCAGCAACGGCCACTGGTCCACGCGCAAAATGAATCGGAGAATGGAAATAGCCAAAACAATAAATTTGGAACACGAAGAGACGACCGCGAAGATCTGAAATGACGGACGAGCCCGTTGTGACCCGAAATCACAGTCAAGGTCTTAACGGTTACACGCTTAGCTCGACATGATGACGTCACCGCTGACGTCAGACATGTCGTCCCCGCTCCATCGCGACTTATTTCGGAAGCTGCCCGTCCATTATTCCAAAATACCCATCACGACTCATATAACCCAAACGACCATCTGAAACGGGGGTGACTAAATAAGGTGGAAATCAACGCGGGGAGCGACAAATCGATGCACCGAGGACGGCAAACCACGCACTTGTCCAGCGCTTCGAGGTATTTCTGCTTCCTGATCTCAAAAAAGATCTTCATGGAGTAGCGGTTGTCGTCGACCTTGGTGAAGCCCCCGAGGTAGCGCTCCACCTCCTCCCACTCGCCAGCCACTACCTGGTCTTCGAAATACTTCATGTTGAAGAAAAAGCCCGATTCCTGCTCGAGCCTGCGTCGGTTCGCGGATGGGAGAGTAAAAAAGTTGGAAAACACATGATTTTCTTACATGCTATATCGCGAACTGAAATGGAATATGATTTCTTCATATATGCTTTTATTGGCTGCAAAAAGCGTAAGTACTGGGCGTTTTCTTGTGTGAAGAAGGTAAAGTCTTAAAACAGGTCTCTAAGAGTTCTTACTTGTGAACGGTTTCTTTAAACTTTTCTTCATCGAGGAATTGTAGTATTAGGAACACGAGCTCTCGACTTAACGACGACATGGTTCAAGCTCGAAGCGCCAAAACGGCGTACAGCTCGCAAAATATTGTCGATCTACGTTGTCGAGATAGTCTCAAGTGCTAGAAATAGCACCAAGACCAGAAACTTCCGAAGCCTAGAGAGTCAGCCAGCACAAACTAATTATCCATCGGTGTAATCAACTACAGTAGTTAGTTGAGAGGTGAACGTATGGTCGCTTCAAATGGAGCGGAAGTTCATGAACGGGGTGCATGAGGTGAGATCCGAAAATGGTCAGCTTCCCGTTCTGTGCCTGGCTCTGATTCAGTCCAGGGGAGAGGTGGGTCAGCCACAGGACCGCCTGTTATTAAAGTTGAGGTTGTTTGCGATCTTATGGGTTTTACTTGGTTCAAGTGCGGTGAAGCGCGGCAATCTCGTAGTTCCTTGACTTTCTGGTGACTTCAAAATGGGGGAGGGAGGGAGGGAGGGAATGGAACGGAGGGATGCACTGTAGGAAGGGAGGCAAGGGTGCAAGGCCAATTGTGCGAGGTGCGAGCGAGTGTGACACGGGAAGATTGTCATGTCAACCAACAAGGACAACCTGCAACACATTCCGGAAAAAATATCGAGGTCGCTGCTGGTCCCGAAGAACACTGTTAGTACTCAAGTCAAAACTCCCAGCTTTGATGGTGCTGTACAGTATGACCCGCAACGCATTTGCTGCCAGATGTGGGCACTTCAGCAAGGTACAGTACTAATCACTTACCGCTGTACTTGCTTTTGTTTCGGGCACTTCACAGACCAAAGGTCTTTTCATGGGCAGTTGCCCTACTCTCAACTCAACTGCGCGCACCCTAACAACTCTCTGTACAGTGTCCAGCCGAGTTATTGCAATGATGCGCCGTACCCTCGCCTCTCCGACTTGAGGAGGCCCATCCAACATCAACGTTCTGCCGGAACAGCCAGCACAGCACAGCTGAAGCTCATCCGAGCATGTCCCTCTGTCCGTTCGATAGAACCGTGATTTGCGTTCATCCGCCGGAAAGGTTCCACCAATTTCAAGCGTCAACTGGTTCTCTCTGTCGGGCGTGGGTTCAGCACTCTGGTTTTCTGGCTCGGCCTTCAGATTTTGATCGAAAACCGCATGCTGCACCAAGATACCCCCGATTACTGTTGATGATAAGCCGAACAGCTGTACAAATTATCCCGCAGCAACAGCTTCAACTCGGTACAACGCATTATTACATACACGTCGTTACAGTAGAGTCTTCCGATCACTTCCCATCTCCACGCAAAATTACAACGGTTTCCAATCGGGCCTTTCCAATATTAAAAAGAAGGCCGAGTCAACTGATTTGAGATACCAGATTGATCCTTTCTCTCATTCCCCAATATCCTCCAAGAAGTCTACCAATAGTCTTTCATATGCGAAGGTTCTTTCCATATTTATAATAATCATTTTCATATCAGCATCTTGTCATCATGTTAAAATTGTGAGATCCGAGAATCGTCATAAAAGTCCGATGGTTCTTGGATAACAGTGCTTACAAAAAACAAATTGCAGAACAATTTATCGTCTATGGAGCAAACAAACTCTACAAAACATATAAGAAATTCTACATGTTTTTTTGTATTCCTACATATGAATAATATAAATATCTCTACAAATCAAATCCCATATTGCATGCTTAGGGGACCCTTTATATTTTTTTTAATAAATAAATGTTTACTTTTGGTAAAAAAACATGCCAATATTTTGACACAACTTTCATAATCTTATACTTTTGGTATTTAATTTTGATTTCCGCCACTCTTAGCACACTTGCAAATCCAGACTGCATGTGGTGTCATCTTGCAGATGTGTGCTGGCAACGAATCAATACCTGCAAAGTTACGCGAGTTCCCGATTCGCGACCCATGTGATTTCAACTTGATTCAAATCATCATAACCACGGGATTTATAGTATGTACATATGAAACATCGTCGTTTTCATGCGCAATTGTTATTTTTGTTTGGTTCATGAGATAGAGTTGTCAACTATGTTAATCAAACAAAATCTGGTATGTAATATATAATCATTTAAGTACAAATAGTTTAATTTATTTCAGATGCATTGGAGCAAATACTCGAAATACACTTTTAACGATCAGACGAATTTCATATACTATCAAGGGCTTCAGACCCCCTCCAACCAGGGACGTCCCTAGGATCTAAGGGTGCCTGATGGAGCATACGGGCCCGAAGGGCCCGACTGCTTCATTAGTAGGATGAGTGATTCCCTATCTGTTTGATACGGAATTTTCGGAATCGATGTCTTTTGTGTCAGACCACAGTGCACTTGCATTTCTGTTTGCCTTTCTTTTTTGGAAGCACACTGTCATTAGCTGAAATCACTCACTTGTATAAGTTCAGTAGAACTATCACATGAGTGTATTATTAAACTTCAAACTGGTTGGTACAACTACTCTACTCAGTATCAGACTCTAGCGCCACTGTGGCATGGACATCAAGCCCATTATTTATTCCCCTCATCGTCGCCATCATCACTGTCCGAGACGGCTACACCTGCACGTGCCTTGCTCTTCTTTGATGTCCTCCGCCTTACCACATCTTCCTCATCTTCGTCTTCATTGGAGACACCAGCTATCATTCCTCTCACGGCCTTCCTCTTAGGGGCTCTATGTGGAGTGCACTTCATCGTCACTTCCTTAGCGGGGCGCCTCTCCTTTGCCACCCTCCAATCAGCCACCACCTCGTCCCAATTCGGCTCGTACTCCAGGAGCGATACGTGTCAAAGAGAAAAGGCCTCGCCCTTGCTTGGTCGAAGTCGACCAGGCATTTCGGAACAAGACGGTGTTCGTTTCGTGGTAATCGGCGACTTTGGGGACTTTTATCTGTGTGCGACGAGTCGTTTGTCGACGATATTAATTGGTCAAGGTAGAAGTGTTTCCTCTGCTCGATCAAAGTTCTCGTCTAGGAGGAGCTCGTCGACGGGAGTAAAACGGCGTCAAAGACGAGCCTTTCTGATAGACGGAATTGGCAGAATAGGTGTTTCGACGGATTGCTGGTCCACAGAATTTAGTTTGACGAGTGTTTCGACGAGCAGAGCGATTCTGGTCGACGGGAAGTACTTAGCTCCAAAAAATGTGCAATGTGTGCGAATTTCACCCAATTACGGAACAGTAAATTTCGACCAATCAGGTAATTTCGGAAATTGTACTCCACAGGAGAATTCGATTCAGTAAGGAAACTGAACCTGAAACACGTTTTTGCCAACAGTAAAAACGTGCTAACTATGAACGTTGTAAACCTGAGCAACTACCAACTCAGGTGAAATATGCATGTGTTTGTCGTTTCACCTGCCGTTGCTGACTCGACAGATTCAGGTGCTTGTCGAGGAATGTTTCTACATGGTTCATTGTCTTTGCTATTTGGTTCTCCTTGCTTGTACCATATTCTTGTTCTATCAATTTTTGCTAGTGGAACTATGTTTGAATTCTACCAAGTTCACTTCTGAGAATCACTGCCAGAACTCTGACCGTGTGTCCCACACTAGTCAAGCTCTCCCGTAGAATAGTATTCTCCGCATGGTGCGGTGAGCGTGGACGGCCCCGCGTTAGAAGCTTCACATAGCCGACTTCTGAGTTCGTTACCTAAGTTGTTGCTAGGCCGGCAGCCGTCTTAGTCACCATGGTCGACCCCGTCGTTGAAAAGGGCGTAGAAGATACCCTGGAGGCGAGAGAGGCTGGTGTTCGGGCACGCCACGAGGCTGGCGGGTACGGCGAGGCGGACTTGGAGATTCTGCTCCTTGGAACTCGTGCGCAGTGGGCGCGTGAGCATCCCCCTCTCCGTGCAGAAGCGGATGGCGCGTCCGCCTCTCCCAGACCCGTGCACAACGAAGGCGATGGCGGAAATGTTGTCGGCGGTGGAAGCACGAGGGTTCGTGGAGTGATTTGGCCCGCCGATGTCAGAGTTGGCGGAGTGCAGGCGCAAGTGCTGCGATCATCTGCGACTGGAGGCAGCTCGAACGGCAACGTCGGTCCTCTGCGGAGTGGAGCTAGGCCGTCTTCTGCGTCAGCTGGTCGAGACGGAGGCATCGCACTGGCATACGGATATTTTCGCCGGACAAGATCGCTGTGCTGAAGCTACTGGAAGGTCGACACGACTTGATCACGTGGATTGAATCCATTGAGCCTCAGCTGGAAATCGCCGGATTGAAGAAGTTCGTCGACGGAACTGTTCTGGCGCCGGGCGAGGAGGATGTGGAGCTCTGGTCGGAATTTCGCGCAGCTCATCTTCTGACATTTATGGTCATTTCGAGGTGCTGCTCGACTCTGGTGCAGGTCGCATTGAAGTCGTGCAGACTTCGGGTGGATGCTGGCTTCCAAGCGTGGCAGTACATCATGCGCACCTACAAGGCGACCGACGACCTCTACATCAGTCAGCTGGAGAAGAAGTTGACCAATATTCGGATGGGGGAGCAGGAATCGGCGACCGAGTACTGCAATCGAGCGCGGCGAGTCTTGGCCGATCTGCGGATGGCCGGCGTCGACTACTCGGTGGCGTCGTATGTCACTCATGTCATCAGTGGCCTCCCCTCGGGCTACAATCTGATGCGCCGGATGCTGACAATTCCCGGCACGCGCGAGACTCTGAACAAGGATTCGCTTTCGAGCCACATCATCCAGGGCGAATTCATGCAGGAGTCTGAGCGACCTGCAGAACTGCTTCCGCAGGCCAACTATGTCGCCTCGGTGAAGCAGGGACGCCAAC